AAACATGACACGTTCATGCAGTAGCGTACGTGCAAAGTGACACCAAAGTGTGAATATGATCCAGACCGGTGCAACTACTTTGAATACCTATGGCATAAACAAAACAAAATAGTCTTTCAGAACATTAAGTGATATGCTGGACCAACACGCCCTGCTTCAGTCTTTTTTTAAATTAAATATTGAATCCCATTATCGCTGTGTCTCTTCTTCACTTGTTTTGCTCCAAGTCACAGATTCAGTCAACAGTACATCTTGTCCCCAGTTTCCTGAATTCGAGAGGCGCAGTTAGCTTGGAGACTCGGAGTGAGAATCTTGTAAAGGAAACGAAAATATCCACAAGATGCGATCCGCCAAACCGCCCACACAACACGACAGACCAGAGAAGAGCAAAGAGAGGAGAGAGAGAAAGGAGAGAGGACAGAAGAGAGAGGAGAGCAGAGAGAGGCCTGTACACTCCCATCCAGGGCACTTCTGAACCTCTGAATCATGTTTACCACCTACGTCCATCCTCTCTGCGTCAGCGCCACAATAACAGAATAAAAGGAATAATAAGAGTTAAAGTTAACGCCGAAGGAAAGTTAAAACTGTATTTTACTTCTATGGTTTATTAATTGGTAACGTAACATATTTAGATCACTGTGTTACCTTTTATTTTTACGTTCACGAAAAACAACTTAAGATGTTTTAGTCTCCCCTTCCTTTGCTCTCTGCGTTAAGTCACTACCCCTTCAGAGAGCTATAACAATACAATCCTGCTAATTAAACTACTGCACATTACATCAGGTTTGTCAAGATGCTGTGCTTTTTACGCTGTCTTTAAAATCAAACAAACACAAACTGAACTTGTTTTTGCTCCTAAGCTGTATATATGGTGTTTTAATAACATTGTCTACCGTTCCTAGTGTTTTTAATCCAATTTAGTGCAAAATACACATGTTATTTGCAGCATTCTTGTTAAAAACGTATACAATTAGTGTGTTCTGCCTCCAGCGGCCATTGCGATTTCAGGTAGTTGGTGACATCACAGAAGACTGCCCTGATTACAGACAGGTGTTTCTGATCACAAACACCCGGCTGCAAGGACAGAGTTTGAAATGTGGATACCTGTTTGACCAATCACACTCTTGCTTTTACCTCCAGACCCCGCCCCTCCTCCTCTCTCACTCTCTCCTTTAGTCCTCCAGGTACTGCCCAATTTAGCAGCTCTATTTGAAATGTGCTTGTGGGAGGAGTTTAGTCGCACTTTAAAAATGTAGCTGGAATGGACTTGATTATAATCCGTGTATCATTTGTTCTTCAATATAAAACCAAAAATAAGAAAATGAAAAAATAAATATTTTCTTCATTATTTGTCTCCAAAACCAAAATGAAAAAACGGATAACAATCGATTTTGTGTTTAAATGAAGAATGGGAAAAACGGAAAACAGCCATTTCCCGTTTCTGTGATTTAAACTGATGCCGGACTTTTGCGCCGCATACGGACTGAACCAGGACTAAACAGGACTAAACCAAGACTAAACCCTTTTCAGTCCTGGTCTGGTCTCGGTAACAGTCCTGGTCTGGATCCCGGTCTCAGTCCCCGTCTCAATCACGGCCCTTAGTCCTGGTCTCAGTCCCGGTCTGGTTGGACCTGGTTTAGTCCTGATTCAGTCCGTATGTGGCGCAAAAGTCCGGCATCACAGTTTAAGTCACGAAAACGGGAAACGTCTGTTATCCGTTTTGTCCATTCTTCATTTAAACACAAAATCAAAAACTGAAAAAACTAATGATTATCCACTTTTTTCTTTTGGTTTTGGAGACAAATAATGAAGAAAATTGTTGTTTTTTCATTTTCTTATTTTTTGTTTTATATTGAAAAACGAATGAACGAATGATACACGGATTGATTATCAAAACTATTTTTTATTCCAATCTTGCTAGAGTAAAACACCCGCCTATTAAAGTGCAGATGTTTACATATTTGCTTTCATTTTTTCCCATTTATAGAGGCTTGGAGCAACAATCATCCTTGGAAGCTGGATTTGACAAGAGGGAAACCCTTTTTATAGCTTACACTCAAGGTAAGGTGATGTTTGGTCATTATTGCACAAGCTGTGAAGCATTTTACCAATGAATATACCTCAAATTGAATAAATAAAAACTAAATGCATTTAATGTTGTATTGTGGAACATTGTAGATGAGCAGGTGCCTTGACTCTTGACCAGAAAAAGTTATATAGTTCACCTTTAACAGACTCAGTGAAGGACTAGTGATTCATTATATTTGTTTTGAAAGAACAAACAGTAGAAGAGGAGAAGCAGACAGAAGTCAAACACAGGGCAGAGGCAGGTCTGTGTTAAACATGAGGATGACGGGACTCTGAGTGGCCTGACGTTACTGATTAATGAACCAGGAAGAGAAACTGCTACAAACCTTCACAAGTAAACACAAGGCTGAGTTACACAACTAGTATGGTTGTAAATACACGGGTGGGAAATGGCATATTAAAATGTATTATAGACGAGTGGATTTGCATGTTGTTTGGCTGTGGTTACTATGGTACACAACATGCAAATATGAGAATATCTAGTATTTTTGTGACTAGTCCTTGGGGGAAAGTACTACTGGGTTGTGTAATGTTTTGTTACATCAAAAAGACATATTTTTGGTGTTCATTTATTTTGTTTTTCAATTGTATAAATATTAAAGCTATTTAAACTAGAGCGATTTAGCAGGCCATAGGATTCAATGTGTAATCAGTGAAAAAATAATGTAGATAATGATAGATTTAAAACTCAAAATGCCAAATATGTATGCAAGGAGGAGTTTGATGTTATGTAGTTGTCCTGGCTTAATGCATACAATATTAGAAATACTAAAATGAGTTGACTTGAGTATAAACCTTAACCTATCTTGTCTCATCTGGTTTAAGCTGCGCAATAGTTATGATTAGACTAATAAAAATAGAAAATGACGTATTTATTTCTTAAATACAGTGCCCCCCATGTGTGCAAGTTTTCTGTGTTGAGGTATTCTGCTTTTGAACTCACTAATACTTAAAAAAAAGATTTTCTTCAACTTTTTTTCTCCTACAAAATGCCACTTAAGTAACATATCGGTAGTAAATATTTATCATTTATCTATCCCAGCAAACCAAGTAATATTTAGAAAAAAACATGAAAACCTGTCATACGCACTTTCACAGTAAAGAGAAGACGAAACACTCGCCCAACAGTCTCCACACTGCTCGCTTCAGATAAAGTAGGTAAATAGAGCAGGGCCATAGAGGCAGTGGTCTGTAAACTGTGAGAGAGAGAGAAAGAGGAAGGAATGTCTGGGGCAGTTTTGGCTGAGGGGGTCTGAGGGTCTGAGGGGACACCGGGGAGGAGGGCGCCATTCATTAATCCGCCCCTCCGACCCCCTCCCACCCCTGACGTGCTGATGAATGAGGGCTGAGAGAGGGGGAAGATGGGCTTCAGCCAGCAGTGCGGGTGGTCACATCAAGCGTTAAAACTTAGTTAAAGGTGCATTGTGTAACTTTTCTGGTGGAGGATGTTGTTATTATGGTTTCTGGAATGTTTCACAGTATAGTAAACCTTTCTATCGTCATTGTGAGCAAGCCAAACCAAGTTACAGGTCAGATCTGTCAGATGCTCACAGTCAGAATGCCTGTTTTTCTCTGTATTTTTGAGCTATAAAATATAATTGAAATACAATTGAATAAATGTAAGGTAGAGCCGTTTATGTCATGTTGCGGAAGATTCCAGGTGATGGGTCCCCAACCAAAAAGCGACATAATGCACCTTTAAAGCTCCCATATTGTGCCAAATTAACTATGTGATGCAGACTTGGTTTGGCCCTATTCTAGTCCAGGTTCAGTCCTGGTCTAGTGCAGGTTTAGTTTTGGGTTTAGTTCTAATTTGATCCTGTTTTTGACATGGAGTGTGTACAAGTGTTAGCTAGGCTGGCGCCACCTAGTGCCTCCGCTCAACTTAATTTCTCTCCAGCAACTAGGTCAGGAATCAAAATACAACAGACGGTTCGCAAAAACCCCAGAAGTGCAAGTTCGGGAACCAGACAATCAGCGAAGAGTGATATATTCAGTGTTGTCAACGTTTCCAGAGATCGAGGATTTAAAACCGGAATAAAGAGAATGTTTGGTGAATTTCATCATGGGGAAAGACGTTATTATCCTTCTTCCTACAGGATTTGGGAAAAGCTTAATATACCAGTTAGCTCCGTTAGCGGCGCATTACATACGTCATGACCAAATAACAGCGAAGTACCCACCTACCGTCAAGCGAATGAAATCTAAAGCTGTGAGGTCAGACGGTTTGTACGAAGTGAAACGAAGTAAAACCAGCTGATGAATCAGGCTATACAAGTATTGCTGCGGCTTTATTAATGTAATGTACTATTACTTATTTGTTATTCAGTTAAATTTATTCCTACTACTGTGGAAAATGAAATAAAAATCCGATCTACTACTTTTAAAATAGTAAGTAGTAAAAAACATATGACAGTTGTTTCCCGTTCTCATTTCCCCTCTCAAAGTTGTATTTAGAGTGATTTGTGCATATTTGAGCAGCTTTTATTCACTTATTTTCAAGACGCCATATTGCTGATCAACTCCAGTTTTCATCACCACTGGCATACACCCACTTCTCTGCACTTACTTCATTCTCCAGTTTATTTTCTAAATCGGTGATACGCGAAGGATTTGGCAGCGTTGTGTAGTCATTTTGGTACAAATGAAAAAAAAAAAAATCATCTGCTCCCTAGTGTGATTTGCAGCTATCCATAAAATGCGCAAGTTATAATGATAGATAATCCATGGCTGTCCTAAATTATAACTATATAACAGACTCAAGCACATTATGTCTTTGAATTATTTGTCAAGATATATTATTTTCCTTTTTAAGTCCACTCCACAAGGCATAATATAAGACCTTTACTAGTGCATTAAATCCTGTTTTGTACGTGCATACATTTTTAAAAAGGTGATGCTGATTTACTGACCTTTTGAGGCTTGGAACGAGGCGGTATCTTGAACTTCTGCAGAAAAACAAAATGAAGTGAAGTGAATCAGAACACATTATCATTTAGATTAGAAAAAGAAATACGGGTAACTTCAGTATATTATCAGTTTTATTTTATCCGGAGGCCATACGCGTAAACAAGGTATGGCAGTTCCAAGTTCGTTCTATGGCTTTACACTGCCATCTAGTGGTGAAATTTAAACAGTATTTCATTACAAATAAAAGTGACTAAGGGACTGATTAATATATAAACTTATTTTTTGTGAATCGCAAGCTGCTTTTCAAGATGGACTGCAGAGTTATTGACAAAAACATCTTAAAGGTGCATTGTGTAGCTTTTCTTGTGTAGGTTGAGTAAAATGCTTTTCTCTATGGAGATGTTATTGCTTTGTCTGGAATCACAGTATCTATCTTCATGGAGACCAAACCAGACCAAATTACAGGTCAGATCTATGCAGAGGCAACTTCGCTTGCTTCAGAATGCCTGCTTTTCCGGGTATTTTTAAGCTATAAAACCACGTGTAACTTAATAAATGTAAAGTAGAACTGTTTATTATCCTACTGCGGACAATTCCAGGAAAAGCAATAAGATATCCATAGAAACAAGTACCGGTAGGAGACAGACCCCAACCAAAAAGTTCCAAGTGCACCTTTAAACATCATAATTTGTCTCAAGTGAAATCATGATAATTTGTAACTATTTATATACAGTAATGGGATACTTGTAATGTATTTCGCTACAGAATCCTGACTACCTTGTTTAAAATGTGTTTTTTAATCTATCCTCTTACATGGGCCAACACTGTATTCTGAAAATCTGAATTACTTTTATGTCAAATTGCATTATATAATAGTATAAAAGTATGACATATAATTACAAACAACTTTATTTTGTTGTTATGCCTTAATCTATGTCTAAATAACTGCATTTCTTACTAATACTGTGCAGTTCAAAGCCAAAATCACATATAAAGTAATAAAGTACCGCCATGCGTTTCCTTTAATTTACAAAAGTATCTGTATTCTGAATACCACCAAATGAAAGTTAGTATTCAGAATATGTATTTTAGGTACATGTATGCAGTTACTTCTCAACATTATTTATATATTGTGGAAGAATACACTTATTATAACATATTGGTTTTGTTATATGATCCATCTTATTAAATCAAAGTCAATGTTATTAATTAGAGTAATAATTGAAATCATGATTAAAGAAAAAAAAAAAAAATAAAAAATCTACAAATTTTCAAGCCCTGTTTTAAAGGTGCATTGTGCAACATTTCTGGTGGAGGGTCCATCACCTGCTTGTCTCCACGGAAATGTTATTGCTTTGTCTAGAATGTTCCACCAGAAAAGTTACACAATGCAGCTTTTAAATATGTAAAATAAATGTTATAAGCATTTCAACATTTCCTTTTCCACTCACCGCGGCAGATGCTTTCTCTGCATTTATGTCCTTTAGCTTGGACTTGTACAGGATCCATCTGTAACGCAATTCCTCCATCTGTGGGTCGTCCTGGTCCTCAAAAGAGACACGGAGCTCCTGGAACAGTTCCTGACCATAGGGTACATTATTTCTCAGGGCCTAGAGGGGTAAACCAAAGATATATTTTATTATATGTTTATAACTAAGAACAATATACATTAACTGAATACATTTTAAAGGGACCATACACACTATTTTCTGATCTATGTAATGTTTCTTCCTCATCAAAAACATGCCCAGAGTTGTGTTTTGTTTTATTTACACATGTGATTCACACACATTCACACAAATCCTACATATTTAGCCTGTGAATTTCTCTCAAACTGATAAGTGATAACTTGAAAACTGCCACTTCATGACATCAAAAGGTGGAACAGGAACAGAGAGACTAATTATAAAGGATTTTCCAGACATGTGTGAATGAAACAAAACACAACTCCATGTATGTTTTCGCGGCGGTAACAGCATTATAACATGTTCTTAAAGCTCACAAAAGTCAAAAAAGCCATTTTAACACTTTGTATGTATATTGTTCAACCACAAGAGGTCAGTGTAACATTATTCTTCTGAAACCTCTAACTTGGTATTTCCATCTTTAATATAGCTCATATTATCAGTTTATCACAACTTAATTTCAGGGTTTTGAGTTTACATTACATAATTATATTGGCCTATAGTGTTGAACTGAGATGAGGCAACTAAAAAGAATATTGTTAATAAAAGCCCTTTATGGAGTCTTTGGATCATAAAAAAATTATACAGAACAATAAAGGGCTTTTTACTCCTCATTGGTAATCAAATTCAACATTTGTAGGATTTTCCTTTGGGATATTATTTTAAAGGTGCAGTGTAACTTTTCTGGTGGAGGGTCCATTAAATGCTTTTCTCCATGGAGATGTTACTGCTTTGTCTGGCATAAAACCTTTGTATCTTCAAGACCAAACCAGACCAAGTTACAGGTCAGATCTGCGGAGAGGCAAAGTCGCTCACAGTCAGAATGCCTGTTTTTCTAGGTATTTTTGAACTACAAATCCAAACAAAACGCAAAATTAGCCTTGTCTAAAAATGTTACATGATGTACATATGTTCCATTAAAAAAGAAAAGTGAAAAAAAAAAAATAATATTAAATGCAACAGATCAGTGTTTCTCAACCTGTGGTACGTGTACTGTTAATACATGTACTGCATCTGGTGATACACAGGGTCCTCTGTAGTTTCAATATTTGTTTATTTTGTAAACAGATTGATATTTATTGATATTTTTGTCCTCCTTTGGGTTAATTAGTTATTAGAACCATATACATGGCTTTAGTCTCATTTTAGACAATATTTAGCTCTGGATTAGACCTGATATAACCCAGTTTTAGACCTGGTGGCACTCAAAATGCCAAATATTATTACTTACACTTTATACTTGGTGTGAAAATTTGAGAACCACTGCGTTAGGGCAATACTGTCTCCTAAATTTCTACTATATTAAAAAGCACTATTGACAACATTGCCAAAATTGTTTCTACCAGTACCACAGGCCGCAAAGAAGAAGGAAAAAACCTTTTACCCGGAGCTTGGCCTGGTTGACCTTGATCTCCTGAGCACTCAATGGACCAGAATACGATGCGAGAACCTCTGAGAGAACAGCATTTTCTTTTCGAAGCCACTCTTCAAACTCCCTCCACCTGAGTCTGTACCTCTCCCTCCCACCTCCTGTCTCCTGAAAAACAACACAGAGAACTCCTATTAGCAGTGGACCTGTCACAATAACAAATACTGAAGTGCTAAATACTGCTGAAGAAAATATAAATAAAAGATAATATAGAAGCCAAACCATTGATCAGAATTATCCTCCAAAAGGTATTCTACTTACAAGTACAAAAACACAAACTGTATAAATAAATAGCAGAATGAAATGTCAGTGTGTGTTTATAATGAGCTCATAATAACACTGTACAGCGCAAATCTCATTATAGTATAGAAAAATTATCAAAATTTCCCAACTAGTACAAAGAAAATGTATAAATATTGACCTCCAAAAAGTATTGTTCCATCTGTCATGTATTGAATAAGTTGATATAGTATTTATCGTGACAAGCCTAATTAGCAGCAGACAATAAATAAAAAGAAAGGCTGTGTAATAATCAATCCAAACCAATCAAAATCGCAGTTTGAGTTGCCACAATTATGAAATCACAAGTAGTTATTTATATAATAGAATGACCTCTGCAAAGAACAAAATATCTTGTTTTTTATGGATAAATCTTTGGGTCAGGGTTAGGATAAATCTGTAGGTGTAGTTTGGACATCTACAATCTTGTTCTCATCTCTGTAAAAATGTTGTTTCCTCATCAAAACATACTCGTAGTTGGGTTTTGTTTAATTCATAAATGTTAAACACACAAATCCTGCAAATTTAGGCTGAGTTGTCTCTCAAACTCCATACACCTTCACCAGAATCATTCGGATGATTTCAGCCTTTGAATTGCCAGTCTCTACTGAGCTAAATCTAAAGGGCATGACATCACAAGGTGGAACAGAGCATTTTAATCTTTGGAGATGCAGACAGACTAATAATACAGGGCTATCCAAACATGTGTGCATGAAAGAAAACACAACTCTAGGTAACAACATTAAAGCTCACAAGAGACAATTTTGTGGGACCTTTAAATGTATTTCAGTTTTCTATCAAAGTGAATGCTCCTAGAGTTGTAAACACATACCATAACAGAAATCTAATCATGCAATATAGTATAATGTCATGTACACAATTTACACTTTTTTTATTTACAGTTTCACTAATATCCCTCATTTGAGACAGAGATTGTGAAAAACTATTCATTGAAAAGGGTCATAGCAGCCCTCACCACAACTTAAGCTAGAATAAGGACTTTTGTGGAAAAAAATGCGGTTATAAAACCTCCTTTGTGACATTTTTGCTCGATACTTATCTGGAAATGACACAGCAGAACTACTATTCTGGCAGATTTTTCAAGACACAAAAAAGGTTTATATAATTGGCTATTAAATGTATAATCGATCTTTTTTTAGTTTTAGCAATTACCTCTTGTAAGCTTTAAACCATGTTAAAATGTTACCTCCTCAAAAACATATGCAGAGTTGTGTTTTGTTTCACCTTTAATAGATGTATCAAGAATTTTCGGACTTCCAGTCATTGCACAATGCATACTGGGAAGGATTTTCCAAAAAAGTGAGCATCAAACCGCCATGTTTGTTTTCCCAGTGGGATGCGTCTATTGACAAAGCCAGGCTTTTCTATTTTTTTGTAACCATATCGCTTTTGTTTCTGGTTCTGATATTGTCATATTTTAGTTTTGGGATTTGGACATTGTAATTGTGTGGTTGTTGGATGTCCTAACACCGGAAAACGGCTCGAGAAATTTGTTTGCAAACTCCATAACTGCAAAAGGGAATCAGATGTGTGTGACTGCAAACCTCCGTTCAAACTGTTTCCCTTCCCAACGGAATTGAAAAATAGTGAAAGGCGAAGGCGATGGGCAGTATTGATCCACAGGAAGGACGAAAAAGGAAACCTTTGGCTGCCTAAATCATCCCAAGTTTGCAGCAAACGTTTTGTATGTGGAGCACCATCAAAGCGGGATCCCGTTTGTTCAGTGAGAGGTACAGAAGACAAACAGACTGAGCTCGCACTTTCTTGTTTTTGTGGTTTTACAGCAACATCACGTCTTGGTCGCTTTGCAGTGGAAGGTGTTTCTTGGCAAACAGTTGGTTCCTTTCGCTTTGGCATTGACTTTTTAAATTCATAACCAAGGTGGAGCGAGGGATTAGGGTTTTGCTTTAATTTTGCACATACAAAATGTTTGCTGCAAACTCGGGACGATTTAGGCAGTGAAAGGTTTCCTTTTTTGTCCTTCCCGTGGATCAATACTGCCCATCGCCTTTACCTTTCACTATTTTTCAATTTTCGTTGGGAAGAGAAACAGTTTGAACAAAGGTTTGCAGTCACACAGATCCGATTCCCTTTTGCATTTGTGGAGTTCGCAAACAAATTTCTCGAGACGTTTTCCGGTGTTAGGACATCCAATAACCGGAAGTCCAAAATTAGTGATGGATGTATTATGAGTTCGTTTACATCTCAGTTCCACCTTGTGATGTCATGAAGCGGTAGGTTTCAAGTTAAAAGCTACCTTTTATCTTTAGTTCAGTAAAAATGATAAATTCCAGGGCTGAAATTATCAACATGATTCTAGTAAAGGTCTATAGAGTTTGAGAACACAGTGGAGCACTTCCTGTATTTCCAAATGACATCAGACAAGAGTGTTTTCTGTTTGAAGGAAGAACTAAATATGCAGGATTTCCTCAGATTTCTAACCTCATCACTGAGAGTTTGAGTCCCAGCCCCATCAGTTTGCTGAATGTTTCTCGTTGCTCTCGTCATCTCCATCATTCCCTGTTGGCCGGTCCTGTCAAATGAAGCCTATGGGACAAAAATATGCATATGAGTACAGGTACACAACATAAACATTCAACATGGGGGGGAGACGTAATAAAGTTTTTGGTTTCTGAACAAATAAGTGACATTTCAAAAAGTTTCAAAACAGTTAGAATTTCAGTCACAGTTTACAATCGATTTTGGAACACCAACTGACAGAGGATGCAGCATACTAAACAAGAAACACAGACCTAAGAGTCGCAGATTGTGACAAAAAAGAAAAAAAAAGTTATATCCTGATAACAATAATGAGAATATATTTTGGTAATCGAACAAAAATCTGCTGAAAAATCCTTTAAATGTATTTGTTGAGGTTTTAGTATTAGACAAACTAAAATAGATGAAGGCAACGCGAGGCAAGTGTATTGCACAATTTGTATTTCGCAAGGTAATTCAAAGTGCTTTTCAGAATAAGAAAGACATAACAATCACAATACAAACCAATCCATTTTGTAATTAAACATTTTTTTAAACTTATTTGGAAAGGGACATTAATGACAGCACTAAAAGCTCAGGGACAGTAAAATGCGAGACAGGCCTTTACTGCTTTTATTCTGCACTCTTCTTTTTTAAAGGTGCATTGTGTAACTTTTCTGGTGGAGGGTTTGTCAAATGCTCATCTCCATGGAGCTGTTTTTGCTTTGTCTGGAATATTTCACAGTATGGTATTAAACTTTTCTATCTTTATGAAAACCAAACTAGACCAAGTTGCAAGCCAGATCTGTGGAGAGGCGACCCCGCTCACAGTCAGAATTTGTTTTTCTAGATATTTTTGAGCTATAAAACCACCCGTAATTAAATAAATGCAAGACAGAGCTGTTTAATGTCATACTATGGAACATTTAAGACAGAACAGTGACACATCCAAAGAAATAAGCAGGAAAACTGTGTCAAGTTTAGGATGATTATTTATGTTTTGATTTTTCGTGAGATTTCAATGTCTTTCTTATTCTGTTAATCACTTTGAATTACTTTGTGCATGAATTGGGTTACATACTAGTAAATAAATAAAGTTCCCTTGCTTCCTCAAATTTTTACTACCTAAAATTTGAAGGAAGAGACATTGATTTGAAGTTACGAAACAGATTATTACCGATGAACGCTGTGACTCCTGTGTGGATGTACTTCTTTTGAACTGGACAAAAGCTCCTGCTCCTGCTCGTCTTCCTCCTCCGTAGCTTAGACTGTCTGCTGCTTCTGTACTGCCCTCTCTGTACCTCTGCCCTCCCTCCTCCTCTACCTCCTTTTTCTCCTCATCAGTCCTCATAGTCATCGTGGACTCCATCACCGATAAGACCCCAACTCGACTTCTGCCACTTCTGCTGTCTCCCATTTTCAAATTATCAATGCCAGCCTCTCCATCTACAATTACGTCTTTGGCACCGCTTTGATCTTTCCTTTTTCGGAGAATCCACGCGGGGGAGTCTGTCTCATCGTCACGCCAGGAAGGCCCGCTATCAGTCCCATCGCTACATGAAAGCCCAGCGCCCTTTTTGTTTTCGGAAGATGCTACGAAATGACCCCAAGGTTGTCCTTCCAGCCAGCTGCTTTGGTCGATAATATCATCTTCTTCAAAGTCCACTTCCAGGCTCCCTTCTGGTCCGGGGAGAGGCAGTTCTCGGTACACGTCACCTGACCTTTTCTCAGTTTGGCCGGTCGGACTAGAGCTACTTCCTGTGTTGATCTTGGTGTTTTCGCTAACTGAAATGTCCGCTGTAGAAATGTCTCTCAGCTTCCATGAATCAGCCTCGGTTTGCTCCATGGAGAATTTGAGTAACCTGGAAAGCACAGAAGAAAAAAAAAAAGTAAAAATTCAACATTTATCAGTTGGATATGTGTCTTTTCTACCTTTGGTTTGATGTTTGAAGTTTTATAACTAAAATATAAAAAATGTGGTATGTAGCACATTCAGTTTCTTTTTGAACATTTGAGGACAAATACTTATAATAGAAACGAAAATGATCAGAACAAGTTAGATAAAGATGTGTGTCAACTTTTAAAACATTCCCATTAAAGGTGCACTATGTTAGCCAGGCTGGCGCCACCTAGTGCCTCTGCTCACTTTCATTTCTCTCCAGTGACTAGGTCAGGAATCAGAATACACTAGACGGTTTGCAAAAACCACAGAAATGCATGTTCGGGCACCAGCCAATCAGCGAGGAGGAATGATTTCTGAGATTGAGGATTTAAAGTCGGTGTTACGACCCCAAAAGGTGAGTCCCAACATATTTAAAAAGGACACAGGAGTCAAAATATAGCTCTTTAATTTATTTTATTTATCGTTGGTTCTTAATTTTAAAAAAAAATGTTTTTAAAGAAATTTAATAACCCTCCCGCACCCCCAAAAAATAATGACAAGTAATGAACAGAAAGGTGGCCGGCCAAACAGAACAAAAAGGTGCAACACCAGGCACCCTAATAAACCAGGGTTACTCAAACATGTTTTTGAGGAGGTAACAGCATTATAACATGGCTTAATGCTCACAAGAGTAAATTTTGTATAATATAGGACCTTTAACATGATCCATCCAAGTTTGTCAATTTCTTCATATAATTCAAAGATGCAAAACAACACAGATTAGGTTAAAACATGATTAAAAACTCAGAAAGCCAAGTCAGCGTTAAGGTTTAATACATACTAGTAGTTCTTTCATACAGTATTTTTGCTGGATTACAAATTGACAAATCCACTTTCTTTTCTCTGCCTTTTGTTTGTGAGCGCTGTTAAGTCTTGAGTACCATTTCTTAACACATGTGGTGACTCACAGTGTTTTTTGCCCTTGAACTCAGCGCATCGTGAGAGCCATCTTGCTTTTGAGACTGCTATTTATTTATTATGTCTCAAGATGTCTCATTTATAGCTTTTGTTTCCATCCACAGAAGCTCCGTTGTCATGGAGATTAAGTGATAAAAGCAAGCAGTAAGAAAGGCATTTTGGTCACACAGACACTTTGATGGGAGTAATTCCTCAGATCCATCGAGACACCTTCATATTTTAAAGCTTTAAAGATGAAGTTTCACCTTTCAGCAAAACGTTATAAACTGGGCCACAAACATAATGGCCCGTGTTATAGGGCTGAACGATTTTGGAAAAATACGAGGAAAAAACAGCTATTTTCAGGCAACCATTGCGATTCATGTTTTAAAGGTCTTATATTACGCAAATTGATTCTTGCAAACTTTAAGCCATGTTATTATGTTGTTATCACATAAAAAACATACCTGTAGTTGCATTTTGTTTCATTCACACTAGGAATGGGCATTCTATTAAATTGTCTTAATCGATCGTCGGGAGAATTAATAATCGATTTTCGATTAATCATTAACGTAATTAAAATTATCATAATTATTATTACTATTACTAATCTGCATAAATAAACTAAACTTTACCACATATAAACCATAACCACTGTAGAGCCACACGGGCCCGTTTGACATTATAATGTGTTTAATGCAGCTTTGCGCACATTTATTTACGTTTTACAGAAATGAAACTTAAAACCACATGGCTAATTTGCATAAACTATAAGACAGACAGAGGGATGTTGATGATGGTGGTGGGTCTGTTCTGTGTGTGTGTCACGTTGGAAATGGTTCATGTTTTCAGAGATCATAAGTGTACAGGTTTAGCGCAGTTCTTTATTTAACAGTCAGTTCACTCACTTTATTTATTTTGGCTACTGTTATGATGAAAAGACTAGAAAATGTTTGTCTTTAGGACGCATGCGCTCTCAACTTTATGTTGCAGTAACCAGGATACTGCATATACACGCACCATGTCGAAACCGGGATACTCAAAAAAAAACGATCATAACCGGGACACTGATGTGCATGTAAAACATGCCGAAACATGGCACCGTGAGACTGCAACTCCAGTGTTTGTGCTGTCAGATGCACTCTCGTCTCCTTACGTACAGCAACCTACATTCGTTTTGTCGATTAAAAATTAATCTGTTTGACAAAATTCTTAATGATCAATTATAGATTAGTCGAATAATCATGCCCATCCCTAATTCACACATGTTTGAATAATCCTTTCTTATTAGTCTGTCTACACCTCCAAAGCTTTACATGCTCTGTTGCACCTTGTGATGTCATGAAGCAATAGTTTTCAAGTTAACAGTGACCTTTTACCTTTGGTTGTGTAAATACATGCAGTTCCAGAGCTGAAATGCTCCAAATTATTCTAATGAAGGTGCATTGATTTTAAAAACACAATGAAGCACTTCCTGTATTACCACATGCCATCATAAGGTGTTTTCTGTTTGAGAAATGAACTCAGCCTAAATATGCAGGATTTGTGTGTTAAACATGTGTAAATGAAGAAGGACGCAGAAGGTTACATAGTGCACCTTTAAAAGAGTCCAAAACAGTGCAAATGTGCTAATTACCCGTCCAGATTGAGAGTCATGTCGTACAGAGACATCCAGGACGCCCTCAGCCTCTCCATGTCCCTCTGGATGTGGACCCTGCCCTCGTCTGATGTCTTATCCAGCACTGAGCGACCTCTGACCTCTAACTTCTGCAGCTGGAACTCCTTCTCTGGAAACTCATCCAGGACTTTCTGCAGACAACAAGATAAAAAATACACAATGTCAAATATTTCATCAGTGGACAGTAGTGTTGTCACTGTACAAAAATGTAAACTCAAAAACTGTCTTTGAAAAATAGAATGTGATTTTCAACATTAAATCGTAGTACCGGTACTTTATTTTATGTTATCATAGTGTTCCATGGGTGTATACTAGTCTACAGCTTAAGATCATTCTAAAACTGTTCAGAAAAGGTTCATTTCTGTCCTCTGAATGTGACTGTTTTAGTATCGATGCCTGTTGAAATAGGTATCTAGTTTCAATAGTTTAGACAACCAGACAGGACAGTAGTTGAGTTCAGATTCTATAATTTGCGGTTATGATTTCTCTCAGGGCAGTGTGCAATTCTTAATTAGGGATAACTGTCCTTTTAACTACCCTCATTCGCAGTAGGGGTGAGCGATAATAAGAGCAATTAATATCCCTTTTATTTATTTAATTCTTATTCTGCTGACAATCATCAGAGCATATCTGAAAATCCATCTAATTTCAAAATAGACAATGGACAATATAATTAACCTGAGTGTGCAGAATTATAACTTTATACCATTATTTGAAAGATTACACTGCATTTAGTTTTATTTTTTACCCATTTCATTGTATTTGTGTGTGTGCGTGTGTCCTGCAGTACATACTAGAAGCTGCATTCACACAAAACACCAAAATTCTGACTGAACTGGGACTAAACCAGATTTAGACCAGGACTACAGCAGGACGAGAAGACAGTGAAACCAAGTCTAACTGGACTAAACAGGGGCCAACCCAGAACCAAACCAAGTGTAGCCTGAGTAGTTAAAAATAGTCCAATTTGCAACAATTAACAAAATGACAAAGCAATAATCACCTCAAGTATAGGCCTATTAGAAACCTTTTTATTCCAATCACTTAAGCTGTTTCTCTCAAGAGGAGTGGTACTTAAGTCTTACTCCCCAGAGACATTCATTGTTAAATATTGGAGTAATTGTAAAAAGTGAGACAATATTTCTTAACATCAGACTGGCTAAGCAATAATTATTACTAAAAAAAAAACTAGTATCGAAACTCATTTGAGCATGTATCGATAAAAAAAACTGACATTCAAAGGACAGAAATGAACCTTTGGAACAGTTTTAGAATGATCTTGAGCTGATTAGAAGAAGTGTAAGAGCACATAGACTAGTATACGCCCATGGACCACTCCGGAACCTACCAGGACCACTGAGGGATTACACAGATAGAAGTCCGCATGGTGACATAAAAGAAAGTACTACAATTTAGTTTTGAAAATCACATTCTACTGTCTAAACAAAGAGTGTTTTTATTAGCATCTTGGTATCAGAATTGGTATTGAGCTATTCCTAGTATCGAAATCGAGGTTGAAATTTTTGTATCATGACAACACTACTCATAAAACACAATTACTTTCTTCACCAAACAATACCAGTCTCTCAAAACAATAAAAAATACATCAATACTTTTCCAGCCAAGATGAGACTCAAAAGCTCTGACCAGGGGTTCTTACAGCTGTCTCCTCCACATAACACAAGCTTCAGTTGGGTAAAAAAAAAAAAAAGAAAATATTGGATTTGTTTTATCTTCCTTTCATCATTTCTTTTGGTGTAAGAGCCAGTTGTTCCCCTTCGCCTGCTGCTTAATTTCGAATAGCGCAGTGGGCTGGCCGTGTTTCTCTGTGGGATAAGAATTCTCCCCTGCGCTGCTCGGCTGAAGCCTGTTTCCATCTATCAAGAGTCGTAGGATCTGCAGTTAGCGAGGCCTGGGGAGTGTGGAAAATAAATAGTACTCGGGGAAGATGTGTAAAAATATTATTTCTTCGGCTATATCAACAGAGACTAGAAGCACAAGTGCATAAGAAGACATGTGGTGGAACGTAACAAAGTAAACAAACAATATTTGATGTACAAGTTTTAGGCATCTGTACTTTACTTAATTACATTTTACAGTGGATACTTTACTTTGACGTCACTACATTTGAGAGCAGGTGTCTGTACTTTCTACTCCAATATATTTTTGAACAGGATTGATAAGTAAAAAGTACTTTATGTTTTGAGACCTACTGAAATGGCGGAGACTTTGGTTTTTTTTGCACATTTAATTTGAGTTAACAAACCAGCTATGAGGAAACCAAATACCGTATTTTTCGGACTATAAGTCACTCTTTTTTTCATGGTTTGGTGGTCCTGCGACTTATACACCGGTGCAACTTATATGAGAAAATTTTCAGACTGACAGCCGCGAGAGGGCACTCTAGGCTTGTGTGTCAGGAGCTAGTACTTCTATTACTCCTGTAATGTCACTTTGCATTCTACTGTGCATGTCTCCTGCAGAAAAAGCCTTCTGTCCTGCTGCAAATAATGAAATATACAGTCGAAAACGGTAATCAAGCAGCAGAAAGAAAGTTTGGAGTGAGCGAGAAACTTGTGTGGGACTGGCGGAAAGTGGGAATGGAGAACACAGCTTCACAGCAACTGGGTGGGTGCACCATGCAACTTTTGTGGAAGTCACTGAATGAATCGACAAAGCCTGAACTTCAATGACAATCGAAACCATCCTGTTGGGATTCAGAAAGGTCGGAATAATTCTAACTGGAACTGATGCTGAGTCTGACGACAGTTACGCAGAAGAGGAAGCGGCACTCCGTTTACATCATGGATCTATGGTTTATCTCCAGAGGTCGCACAGAAGTGACACAGAGGACGAAGAATTCAATGAATGTAGTGATTTGGAGTGAGATCGTGAGTTTGGTAAACTTATGTTATGTTGTTTATGCTATAATTATCTGAATAACTGTTAATATGTTACATTAACATATTAACACCTATTCAGTCTGTTGTTCCCTGTTCCCTGTCTTTGATTTTAAAAAATACATTTCCCCAAAAATTGCGACTTATAGTCCGGTGTGACGTTATATATTTTTTTTCTGCTCATTTTTTAGCTGGTGCGACTTATACTCCAGATATACTTATAGTCCAGAAAACACGGTACACAAAAGTTGCTAGAAAAAATAAGAAATCAACTGAATCACTTAAAAGATGCCCAATTCTTTTTTGAAAATCACTTTTTGACACTTTAATTGTTCTAAAAATCTCTGCAAAATACTTTTACTTTTTACTCTTGAAGTAAATTTTTAAACAGGTACTTTAATACCTTTAATAGATTTTTTACGTTTTACTTTTGTATGTGTACTTTTACTCAAGCAACAAAATTTGAGTACTTCATCTCCCACTGAAAGGAATACATGTGGTTTCCAGTCCAAATATGGAGCTTTTCTTTCACTAGCTACTTTTAAGACCTGTCACGATATACAGACCATCTCAAACTTAGAATATCATGAAAAAGTTCAATATTTTTGGTCTCATTTCAGAAAGTCAAACCCATATATTATATAGAGTCATAACACATAGAGTGAAGCAGGGTGATCTCCTCCAAGCCACATTATATTGATGCAGTAATTCAAACCAAAGGAAGCCCAACCAAGTATTGAGAGCATAGAAATGAACATACTTTTCAGAAGTCTGACATTTCTGTTCATAATATTCTTTTTTTTATTGATCTTATGTAATATTCAAATTTTCTGAGACACTGAATTTTGGCTTTTCATTATCTGTAAGCTGCACTCATCAAAATTTCAAGAAATAAAGGCTTGAAAGCTTCACTCTGTGTGTCATGAGTCTATAATATATGAGTTTGACTTTCTGAAATGCATGACAAAAAATACTGAACTTTTTCATGGTGTTCTAATTTGTCAAGTCTATACTGTTAGAGAGAAATATTGTGATAAATTATAAAATAGAAACTAGATTATGCCACTAATGCAATAAGAAATAAAGCAAGATATTCCCAGTAAACCATTTAAAACACAGCATCATTTAGGGGCATAAGAAAAAATCAATTCAATGATATATCGCAATACTTCATTGGAAATTCTTGTATCAATTCAAAAAGCGTAAAGCTGTAACTAAATAAATAGTAGAATGAACAAATAATTAGCTTTGGGAGTTATTTATTCTACCCCCTCCAGCTCAAATTGTATCATAGTACAGAAAAACTGCTAAAAGCTTCTCACTAGAGCAAAGAAATTGTTTGCATGATAAATGAGCTCCAAAACCTATTGTTCCAGCTTTTACATATTGAACGATATGTCGAAATCGTAATTATCGAGATGTGACTTTTCAATAAGGAAGAGCTATAACGTAATATAAAATACAGTAGGCTAATCCCGCAGCTGTCTCCTCTAAATCAAATACTGGATCTAGAGTTAGAATCTGAAGTAAGGCTGGCCGATATGCCAAAAAATGAATCACCATTTTGATTACATTTTACTTTTTTTCTTTCAAAAACAAAATAATGGCTTTCAGTATTGATATATACAACATAAATAAGAAAGACTTCAGCCCCCTTTCTTACTCCAGTGTCTGAAATCCTCTGCTCCAAACTACATGTTTTCACTGACATAAGACTGGCTGTAGACCTTTCGATTAAAGGTGCACTGTGTAACTTTTCTTCTGTATTCATAGTAGCATGACATTTTGCAAAACCTATATAGTCTTAAAAGAAGTAAATTAAATCCCCTTCTAACACTGTATTCAATAATTCTCCCCAAAAAAATTGTATACTAATATTAAACCTTTCGATCACGAGGAAGACAAGCAGGTTACAGCACTAAGACACATTACAAATCGGATCTGTGGAGAGTCGCCCCTATTCACAGAAGGAATTATTGTGTTTCTGAGTGAAACAAACACCTGTAATGAATAAATGTTGGATGGATATTTTTTTTAAGTCATACCATGGAACATTCCAGGCAAAGCAATAACACCTCCATGGAGACAAGCAGGTGGCAGACCCTCCACTAGAAAAGTTGTGCAGTGCACCTTTGCGCTGTTCACACTGCAATATTCATACTACTGTAGCCACAGCTGCCCTGGAGTAGAGGTCTGCGCGGGACAGAATTTACAGTTCCGCTCCCGCAAAGAATTGTAATTTTCAGTCCCGCTTCCACCCGGATCTGCGATATTTTGTCCCACTCCCGCCTGCAAGTCCGGCAGGATGGGAAACTTTGCTTTCTTAAGCTCTATCAAACAAGGAGAAGCGAAAGGAATTGGGCTGCGTATGGGAGGAGGCGCGGTGGCCAGTCTGGTTAAGTCCTGTTTTAGTCCTGTTTTAGTCCTGTTTTAGTCCTGTTTTAGTCCTGTTTTAGTGGCGCAGCCTGCACAACGAACGGGAGGAGGGACTGTCCACGTGGCGTAGGGGACAGGTAGGACTCTCTGCGCGGCGTACGGGATGGGGGATGGTCTGCTGCTTAAAATGTTTTTATTAATACCAAATAAAATATCTAGCACAAATTATGCATGATATGCTTCATCATTTGTATATGTTACTTTACACTCATATTTAGTTAGCGGGACTGCAGTTTATCATCACACCCGCTCGCTCCCGCTCGCTCCCGCATGCGCCCGCAGTGAGCTTTCAAAATATGTCCAGTGCCGCACTGTTTTGCGTCGGGTTCTACCCTGGAGCAGACTGACAAAAACAAGGTATAAGACTGTGGCTCTGACCACCATCATTCTCTCCCTCACTCCTCCTCAAACTAGGCAAGATAGATAAAGTGTCTTGCCAATGGACACAACAACAGTTTGTCGGCCAGTGGGGGTTCTGGCTTGAGTGATTTACTGGATGAAGAGCCTCTCTGGCGCCAGTGCCACCCTGAACAGCTGCCCACCCCTGGACATGTGAGAAACAGCGCTGCAGTTTCACCAGAGCATCCGCCCCGCCGCTGTCAACAACACGACTATGTTATCAATTACTCAAACTATTTGTATTGTGCTAGTAGTTTCTATGTGACATGAAGACCAATAGAAGTACAACTGTTTTCCAGCACCACGCCCACTCCACAAACACAGGAGCAGTAATCTTATGACTTCATATGTAGGAGTTTGTAATATGTCAGTATTAGTTTGGAAAATCACTATTGATACTTTGCAGCCGATGTCATCAACATTCCCTTGGAGTATGACGTTAACTGTATGTTCTGCTCTGTCTGAGGCTTAATTGGACTTTAATCTGTGCTTTATTTTAACCCAATCTGACCATAAAGAGCTGATTTAGCTACAACTATAACAGGTGAGATGATTTGTGCTCTTAAACAAGTCCCTCACACATACAAGTTGCAAGCAGTTTTTTAGTTAGTCACTCTCTCAATTTTTGTTCAAAATCAAACAACTAAACAGGCTCCTGAAAAAGTGTTATTTAAATCTATTTTGATTCCAAAACAAGTGCAAGCAGAGACAGCAACCTGGTCCCCCATGAGGCATCGGTGGGGGCAGTTCATCACCACGGAAGCAGCTTATGAGGATGTGTGCCAACTTGTGTGATGATTGGGTGAATATTTTAGGCCGCAGATGGCTCAGAAATTGCCAAAATTACCTATCCTTTATAATGGCGTGAACTTTCAATTGACCCGTGTGACCTCAAATGACCTCAGATCGTCACCCAACTTTTGTTGCAGCATCGGGCACAGGGGTTTGACCCATGTACAAATTTGGTGACACTCGGTTCATAAATGGTGGAATTACTGTCACACATACAGACAGACAGACACACAGGATGAATACAAAACCTGGTTAACTATTTGGGGACCAGGTAATTACAGATATGTGTAGAACACCCCCAGCTTGATGTCACTGAAAAAGTATAAATATTCAGAAAATATCAGTCCAACAGAAATGTAGTAATATGTTTTTAAATGTATTAGAGGAGGTTTAATTATCAGACAAATGTGAACTGATTATAAAAATACCCCAAAAAGTTCAGAAACAAACACAACTTTATATACCTTATTCAGGGTTTTGTCCATGTTAATTCTTCTTTGCATATCTTTAAAACAACTCTGGCATTTTGACATTTTGCCCACTTCTACTCCCATATTGATTTACCTCTGCCTCCTGCTGGCGGCCCTCCACACTGCACTCTCCAGACGAGCTGTGAAACGACTCCAGCTTCTGCCTCATGATCATGATCCACTTCTCCAGGTTCAGTAAATCGTCATGGAAACTCTCGTGCTCCGCTATGTTCTCCTCACTGTCGCGCACCTTCATCTACAAAATATTAAGAGGGTAAATAAATAAATATAAAAATTAGTGCTGTCATGCGATTAAAAAAATTGAGAGATTAATTAATTATGATCTGTAATTAATTAATCTAATTAATCTCATTTTAATCTCACCTAAAAATTGCTGAGAAAAGCCTTCAATTTGAGGTATTTTCATTTAAATTCATTATTACATTATTGTGGCAGATCAAAAGACTGATATAGATTTAAAAAAGTGACTTTATAAAGTCATTTATTGTTCAACAAATCTCTTCAATTTGGCTGTTGAGCCCAAGTCTCCATGAATAAGAAACTGTTTGCTGTAAAGTAGCAAAGACAAGGAAATCTGAACATAATAACTTTTGTCTACTTAAAGACCATAAAAAGTCCAGTCTTTCCTTAACCATATTAAAAATATTATTGATAGAGAAATGCTTTATATATGAGATCACTGGTTTTAGTCCTTGTTTTAGTCCTGGTTTAGACCTGGTTTAGACCTGCTTTAGTCCTACTTTAGTCCTAGTTTAGTCCTGGAAAGGGTTAGTCCTGGTTTTAGTCCTGGTGTTAGTTCTGGTTTAGTCCTGGTTTAGACCTGGTTTAGTCCTGGTTTAGACCTGGTTTAGACCTGGTTTAGACCTGGTTTAGACCTGGTTTAGACCTGGTTTTAGTTCTGGTTTTAGTTCTAGTTTAGACCTGGTTTAGTCCTGGACTGGATTAGTCCTGGTTTTAGTCTTGGTGTTAGTTCTGGTTTAGAGGCGCACAGGAGGAAGCGCGGTTTACGCAGCGTAGCGAGAAAACACGGTCCACACGCGGCTCACGGGAGCACGTCAGTGTCCACGCAGTGTCTACGGAAGGAAACGTGGTCCGCGCGTTCTCAGGTTAATGACGATGATGAAGGTGTGTGTTTGTGTGTATTTGTGTGTGTTTGTGTGCGTGTCCCCTCATGTGGCAGGTCAGTATAGGACAGTAGTGCAGACATCATGAGCCTATGCAGGTTGTTTTCACCAGTGACATTTAAATTGTAGGCGTATATTTGTTATTTTCTTTTATATTTCACGTCGGGAGAATAATTTCCAAGACACAAATGCGTTTTTACCTGTGCACTGCTGACTCTGTTCTACTGGCTGTTCGACCTCGTCCATTGTGCGACTGACGCCGCCAACATGCCGTTTACATCGCTCTTACTGCGCGCGTTTTGTGTGGGTTTCCGACAATGAGTGGAATTACCGAAATAAAAAAATTTATAAATGTGTTTTGTGTGTGTGTGTGTGTGTGTGTGTTGTTGTCCCAACAACACATAAAAACTGGTTTAATAATAAAGCAACTCGCATACAGAAACAGTAAAGTTAGAGATTAAAAATGAGATTAACGCGATTAAAAAACATAACGCGCTAAATATGACTGTAATTAATTAATCGCAATTAACGCGATAATTTGACACCCCTAATAAAAATAAATAAATAAAATCTATAAAATAAAACTTCAGGCATTTGCCTATAGTTTGGTACAGTACAAAGACATAATGTTTTGTTTTGTATGAATAATGCCAAAATGAAAATGAATAAATAAATAAAATAAATTCCCCTGAAAATATGTAACCCACTAATATTGAAATGGGTCAGTTTAATAATGCAGTTAAGGCATTTTGAGAATAGTCAAAAAATATCAGGCTATCAATCAATCAGTACCATTTTATTAATAATTTTCTCAATTTATAAGACCTATTTCTACAATACCTTTCCATATATCGTACCACCATGAGGTTAAAGCTCTAAAAACACTCAACTACATGATAAGTTTTGGATTCTGCTGCATATTATCGCTACTACATTACACATAGTAGCAAAAAGTTAATTGTATTTATATGTCTAGACTGACTGTATTGTAACTACACATCAGAAAACATCCAAACAAGTTCAGTTATAAAATCTCTTTCTCTCTTCAAACTTCACAAAATTGCTGTTTGCTCCAGGGTTATTTGGTCAACAGTTCAGCACTTTACCGAGCAGAGAATATTTTCCTCCATTTTAAGTCAGTATAAAACATAGCGAATCTCTCATTTCTGAATATCACATCCTCTTTCAAATCACGTCAAACTGTATTTCCACGTAAAACCTTTTCTTTTCTATTACCTTAAAGGGCTTGTACCTGATCAGCCAAATTTGTTTAGTCCCAGTGAAGAAATACTGTGTAAGCAGCTCACGAGGTCAAAAAAGTCTGCTGAGTAGTGTCTGCATCAATCTAATATTAAAGCACATTACTGTCTGGGTAGCATGAAGTACTCGATTAGCATGCTAGTTGTTATTAGCTTTACTGAGAAGCCAAAACTCTGATCTGACATCTTAAAGTTGTGATAAGTGCTTGGAAACTCATCACGTGATTAAATAAGATGTTTGAAATGCATATGGTAAGTGAGGAATAACTTTGGACCATTACAAACTACTTAGAATTAACTATTGTATTTTTCGGACTATAAGTTGCACTTTTTTCATGGTTTGGGTGGTCCTGTGACTTATACTCCAATGTGACTTATATATTAAAATTTTTAGACTGACAGCCACGAGAGTGCGCTCTAGGCTCGTATGTCTGTATTTAGTACTACTATTACTCCTGTACCACTGTCACTTCACACTCTACTGCGCATGTCTCCTGTAGAACAAGCCACTGTCTCGCTGTAAATAGTGAAATATTCAGCCGAAAACAGTAATCGAGCAGCAGAAAGAAAGTTTGGAGTGAGCAAGAAACTTGTGATTGACGGGCGGAAAGCGGGGAGGGAGAGTACAGCTTCACGGCAACTGGGCAGGTGCATCATGCAACTTTCCTGGAAGTCACTGGATGAATCGACAAAGCCTGAACCTTCAATGACAACCAAAACCATCCTGTCAGAAAGGCCAGAATAATTCTAACTGGAACTGATGCTGAGTCTGACGACAGCTACACAGAAAAGAAAGCGGCGCTCTATTTACCTCATGGATCTATAGTTTACCTCCGGAGGTCGCGCAGAAGTGACACCGAGGATGAAGAATGAGTTTGGTGAGTCGTAAGTTTGGTAAACTTATGTTCTGTTGTTTATGCTATAATTATCTGAATAACTGTTAATATGTTACATTAACATATTAATGCCTACTCAGCCTGTTGTTCTCTATTCTGTTGTTATTACTATAACTTGCCTTTCAAGATGAAATGTCAGTTCCTGGTCTCTGATTTTACAAAATACATTTTGCCAAAAAGTGTGACCTATAGTCCGGTGCAACTTATATATGTTTTTTTCTTCTTCATTGCACATTTTTTGGCTGGTGTGACTTATACTGAAGAGCGATTTATAGTCCGGAAAATACAGTAATTCTGTTTATCATATTTTTAAAACACAAAAAAAATCAGATACAGCACCTTTAAATATATTAGACAACATGACAACTGTACACACATCTTTAAAATTGTAGTTTCAAAGCAAAATAATAAATCTTTCACAAATAAAAAACAAAAATCTCTCTTTTTACCATGACCACTGCATAGAGATTTTTCCATTCAGCGTAGAGGCGTTCAAACTGGGTCTTATTGGCGGGACTGGAGGACACCAGCGTCTCCATGGCGGCGATATGAGCCTCGCAATCTTCAAGGTCCTTCTGTATCGCCTGTGAACAGTGAGGAGGCAGGAAGGAGTTTGAGCCGAGGAAAAAGGGCAAAATGGAAGAGTATTTGAACAGAAATCCTTTAAAGATGCCCTGTGTAACCATGAAGATGTTACTGCTTTGCCCAGAATGTTCCAAAGTATGGCATTAGCTTTATCTATGGAGACTAAGCAGGTGGCACCATCAGGCCAAGAACACATGTTTTTCAAAGTATTTTATTCAGTGAAAAATCAATACCATTAATTTAAGAAAAGCAAGATACACAAATTGAAGATACTGTGGACAATTCTGGGAAAAGCAATAACAGGATATCCCCAGGTTTAACTACCCCAAATTTAAGACTTTTTTAAGACCATTTTAAGACCTTTTAAATGAAAATTAAGACCAACATCGCACCCATTATGCGGGCGAAAAACATCAGATCCAATTTTAATAATGACCATTACTAAATAACAAAAAATACTTTCATTATAAAATCTCATTCAGAACTCATTTATAGTAGTATGCATTGTTTGTAAAATGACAAAAAAAATAATTGAGAGAAGAAGAAAGAAAGAGAGAAAGAGAGAAAGAGAGAGGTGTAGTACCTAACCTGGTGGAGTGAGATAGAGATTACGCTGCAGTCCGGTGGAGTTTACAAAAAATAGGCAAATGAAATGTAATACTTTTGTGAAAAAAATAAGACTTGAACAACATAATTTAAGACTTTTTACAGCCTTAATTTAGGAATATGAAATTTAAGACATTTTTAAGACTTTTAAGACCCCATGGCTACCCTGAATAACATCTCTATGGTGACAGACTGTACTCCCCCCAGAAAAGTTATATAGTGTAGATTTAAATGTGCTTTGTGTACCTTTTTCACCTGCTTCTTTCTGCATTAAACAGTTCTGTGTTACATTTATTGAATTACAGCTGGTTTTATACTTTACAAAAATACCTAGAGCCTGTTTTTTAGATATTTTTGAGCAGTAAAATTGCTTGTAATTGAATACATGTAAGGTAGAGCTGTTTAATGTCAAGCAGGTGACTGACTCCTAACCAAAAAGTTACACGGTGCGCCTTTGAGTTTTATTTTATGAAGTTAATCTCTCTCTCGAAGCCAATTATACAACATAAACCCGTATTCTATCTTGTTTAATCTTGTTCTGTACACACACCCTGGTCCTTATTTGGGGGTTTGACTCACTCTGAACTGGTCCGCCTGGCTCTTCTTGGCCAGTATGTCCGGCTGTAGACTGTCAGCTGCTGCCAGTCTGTCCCTGAGCCCCCCCAGTCTGACGCCAGTCAGCTCATGGGCATCGCTGAAGTCTTTGGTTCTGGAGATCAAACCCTGTGAAAAGAAATTGAAGAAAAATGTGATATAACAAGATGGGTCTGATGGTGGTTTTGTGAAAAATGTAGAAGAAAATTAATCTTTTCACACCAAACTGTTTAATAATCTATGTGTGATGACTGATGTTTCTTTCTCATACAGAGGCAAGAGTCAGCATTCATTATCATTTATATATTTATATACAAAAACATCAAATACAACTCATTTTGCCCACCTCAGTGTTAGTTTCTGTCTTATTTTGATCCCAATAAAAGTATATTAAAAGGTACACCATGTAACTTTTCTATATTACACTGAATTGATTCTTGTGAGCTTTAAGCCATGTTTAAATGTTGTTACCTTCTCAAAAATAGACCTGGAGTTGTGTTTTGTTTCATTCACACATTTGAGTAACCATTTTTATTAGTCTGTCTACACCTCCAAAGCCCAAAATGATGTGTTCCACCTTGTGATGTCATGCAGTGATATTTTTTTGTTAAGTTACGAGCTACCTTTACCTTAAGTCCAATAGGGATTTGCAATTGCAGGATTCTTTTCTGTTCATATTTTTGAATGAATGAACCAAAACTCCACCCCAAGTATGTATGTGATGAAAAAACATTATAATAACATCGATCAGCAAACAGCGTAATATGGGCCCTTTAAGTGTAGATTTCTGTACTTTCCTGTTCCTTTTTTCATCTCCAAGGCTTTATATTTGAAAAGACCTAATTATAACACAATATCTGCGTTTTATTTCCCTCCAGTGGCTCTGACAAGGACAGAGTCTGAGTGGGGAGGAGGGAAGGAGGTGGTGGGGGTATTTTTAGCTCCTATCCGCACTTGGCCTCAAAAATGGTCTGTCACTCATTTACACTTCAAACTGCAGAAGCTTGATATTAAAGGGTATTTAAATCAGCCATTAGAAAGCCCTCTCACGATCTGGTGACAGGTTCAACTCCGAGCAGCTGAAAAGAAGATACTTAAAGCCAGTGTTGGTAAAATGTGTGGTTTTCTGAGTGTTTCCAGCGGGATTAACAGAGCTGTGTTCGTGTCAAGACAGTGATAAACATGGCAGAGGACAGAATCAAAAGGAAACTGTGGCACTATACACAGCTGATTTTTCTTTTCACTGTGGTTTTAATAGTTGGCTACAAGAAATGATTATTATTTTATCTTTGTCTACAAACTAAGCTTAAAGGTGCATTGTGAAACCTTTCTGGTGGAGGATCCGTCAGGTCTGTGGAGAGGCAACCCCGCTCACAGTAAGAATACCAGTTTTTCCTAGGTATTTTTGAGCAATAAAATCAGCTGTAATTGAATAAATGTAAAGTAGAGCTGTTTAATGTCATACTGTGGAACATTCCAGACAGAGCAATGACATATCCATAGCAACAAGCAGGTTACGGACCCTAAACCAAAAACGTACATAGTGCACCTTTAAGACATGATTTTTTGTTGTTGTTTGGTTAAAGGTGTACTATGTAACTTTTCTGATGGGGCCAGGGTACCATTGCTTTGCCCGGAATGTTCCACAGTAGGTCATTGAACTTATCTATCTTTCCTTGCTGCATTTATTTAATTACATACAGTATTTCTAAAACAAAATGCCTTGATCTGACCTGTAACTTGGTCTGGTGATGTCATGTGCTTCTCTTCATGGATAGAAATAATGCTATATTGTGGAACATTCCAAGCAAAGCAATAACCTCGCCATGGACAAGAAGGTGGCGGACCCTCCACCAGAAAAGTTACATAGTGGTACTTTAGCTGTTAGAAGGACAATTCAGAGACAAATTGATGGATGGAATGAATCAAGTTCACAAGAATACTGCATGGACCTGGCCTTTTAAAAAGTATTCAATGTAAAAGTCATTTCGGAAGGAGAGTTCCAACCAGCCACATGGGAAATAAGTCAATGATAAAATGATCAAAGCAATACATTTTTATGAGGATTTGGAACAATGGCTTCACTTAACAGTAAACTCCCACACACACATCTCAGCCCGGAGAAGCACTGAATTATAATATAACAATAACATCCAATGACTATAAGTGTCACATTAAAAAAATAAATTATGTGGGTGCTACGAGAATAAAGTCGTAACATTTCAACATAAAAATCGTAATTTAACGAGAGTAAAGTCGAAGCCAGAAAAAGACGCAATTTTACGAGAATAGAGTCATAACTTTACGAGAATAAAGTCGGAATATTTTGAGATTAAAGTTCTTCCTCCGAACAAGCAACAAAACTGTAGCTCCGTAACAAAATAATTGTGTAAAATATACCAAAAATACTCACCCCTATTGTATTACACAGATCTCTCTGTTATGAATCAATCACAAACTGTTGAATGAAGTAGGAGCGACCGGACTTTTCCTTGGACAAAGCCTGCAGAGTTTGGCGCTCACTTCTCTATTGTTCTAAACGTGAGCATTTTGCACAGTCACCGTTCAAAGATGTGCTCATAGTGGATCACTTCAGCTTCTCGTTATGAGCTTGTGGAGCCGGGCACTGATTATAACATAGCCTAATCCCTATTGACACTGTGCTGTCCTGTTTCTGTCTCTGTCTACAGTCAATATACACAAATACACAGAGGAGAAAATGGGTTTAGTCTTTGATCCTGAATGCCTTATGTGGAACCGACCACAGCACACCGTCCTGACACTTAAAACCCTCAGTTACAAGTTAATTAGCTTGATTCCAGATTTGTGCATATTTCCTCTGTGCTTTAACTACTGCAGTCTATCTAAACTGGATTATCTTTGTTTGTAGGAGTTGTTAAGGATGACTCCTCACCTGTAGCCGGCTCTTCCTCTGCAGCAGCTGTGAGTGGAGCAGCTCTCTGTTCCTGACGGCTGCACTGAGCTCCGTCTGTAAAGTATCAGCTCTGTCGCGTCCAAACACAGAGTCCAACAGGTCGCCCTTCACCTGCAACTGCCCCAGCCTCTCCTGCAGCTCAGCACTGTCCACAAGGAGGCGCTATAACAGGGATTACAGAAACACAATAAGATAAGACTGGTTATGTTAAGTATTGGGAGGGTATTTGTGTGTCTTCTTGGTTTGGTCCTGGAGCCCAGTTTAGTCCTGAATAGTCCTGTTCAAGTCCTGGTTAAGTCTTGCTTCGACCCAGATTTAGTTTACTACATTTTTACTCAACTGAAATATATAATTTACTGTGAAACTCTGTATAATTCAAAACTGAGACTTTTAAGGGAAATATAACACATGGAAGAATCATTGCAATATGTATAGAGTACTTTACAATAAGTACATATTCCAATGAAAAGTAAAATAAGGTAACTTCAGCCTCATCAGTACAGTAAAACAGATTCAAATGTTGCTTGTTCACATGAAAAAATAAATAATAGTTAAGTTTGGACTTCTTTTTTTTTACTGTTGAGATGCCAATTTTGTAGGGCTGTAGTCGACTAAAGATTGATTAGTCTTCTAAAAAAGGGGTGTGGCAATATCTAAGGACTTGTGTGTAAATGTTGTAAAAAATTTATATAAAAAAGTACAAGGAAGCATTGTATTTAATATGTAAAAATGCGGAGTAAACTCACAATTCATTCCCAACCTGAAGTCATGCCATTTCATATCTTTGTTCTGCTATTGTCCCATATAAATCTTTATCAAAATAAAAGAATTATTCAACTTAAGTAGTGCAGACCTACAATGTACACTGAGATGGTAAAATTGCAATATTTAACCTTAAAATAATCATGATACAAAAACTGAAACACCTCTAAATACAGCATAAGAAGTGGACCATCAAAGGCCCGAGTCCAGTTATATTTGAAGCACAACTTTATATTGACTTTACAGCTTCAGTGATACTTGGGTAACGCAACAGTTGCATAAGAATTTACTTTGAAAAACACTTAAACATAAACTTGAAAGTAGCCCATTTTATGTTTTGTGTAATCTTCTGCAGGTCTTCAAAGTTATACATGTGTATAAATCTGATAGACTTTGATGTAGTGAGTTAAATTTGAGATTTGGTAAAAACTGCTAAAAAGGCCTGAGGAGACAAGAATGAATTTACAACACAGTTTAAATGGGGATATCCCATCTTAAAGGTTTTATATTATACCAAATTAACTCTTGGGAGCTTTTAACCTCCTCAAAAACATACACATACCTGGAGTTGCATTTCATTCATACCTGTTTGAGTAATCCTTTAATATTAATCTGTCTACACAACGCACAAAGCACAACTCCAGATATAATTATGTTTTCTCATTAAAAACATAACATAGACCAGAAAATAGTGCAATATGGACCCTTTAAATACATATTTATTGTGACATAGTGGGAATTTTAACAGTTAAAACAGTCCTGATTGCCTTTAGACTCGCAATAATGTAATTTCATTCTTTTTTCTTTTTTTCTGGCTGCAGCAATATAGAGAAGTATAGTCCCTTTTTAAATACCGTAACGCTGCTTCATCAGAACAGTGAATTTAACAGCCAGGAGCCCTATGAGATATTTTAATATTGCTAAATGGGATTGAACCCTATTATTTTCATTTAATTAAGTTATATCTTTATTGCCCCAGTACAAATGTAAATGTAGAAAGCAGCTCTTAAAATGAGTCTGCTATGCGCTGTCTGCATCTAATTATAAAGTGCATGCTAGTTATTGTTGAAGTTACAGTGAGGGCAAAACTCTGCTCTGGCATTTGAATTTTCAGAAGTGTTTTTAAACTGACAGTGGTTAAATCTCTTATATTACACAACATCGACTTGTGAACTTTAAGCCATGTTATAATGTTGTTACTTCCTCAAAAAAAAAAAAAAAAAAAAAAAAACTGGAGTTGTGTTTTGTTTCATTCACACATGTCCAAAGCTCAAAATGGTCTGTTCAAGTAGTAGTTTTAAAGTACTTTTTACCTTCACTAGAGATTGGCAATTTCAGGGCTGAAAACATGCAAATGATTTTAGTGAAAATGTACAGAGTTTAAAAACACAGTGGAGCACTTCCTGTATTATCACATGACATCACAAGATGGAAGACAGTGTTTTCAGTTTGAGAGAAGAATTCAGCTGAAATACGCAGGCTTTGTGTATTAAACATGTGTGAATGAAACAAAACACAACTCCAGATATGTTTGTATGATGAAGAAACAACATTATAACAGATCTGAAAGTATTGTAACATTCACAGAAGTTAATAGTTCTAGGTAGTGAGTATGGTGCTCACCTCGATCTTCTGGACGAGCATCGCGATGTGGGAGAAGTCTGTGACCTCTGCCTCCAGGACCTGAGACACCTGGAGACACCACTGAGAATAGGCCAAGAGAGGGTCCTGCAGGGCACTCCTCAGACCACACTCAGACTCAGAGCAGAGGCGAGTCGCTCGGCACTTCACACTGGAATAAACAAAATAAATAAAAATTCTAATAAAAACTAAGTCATGAAATATATTTAAAACAGTAAATATTAGGTGCAATAGACTAATAGACTGCATAACGGCAGCTTCGATCAAGAAAATGTCATGTTAATTAAGGTTTGCAGGTATTTTCCGGACAAATTATTTTATGTTACGGTACAGGAACAAACAAGGGTAAAGGGTTCAAAGTAGTATAAAAAGCTGGATGGAAACTTTTCTGGTGGAGTGCCTACCACTTACGTGTCTAAATGGAGATATTTTTCCTTTGTCTGGAATGTACCACAGTATGGCATTAAACTCATCATCTCCAGGTGACTCAAATAGGCTAAGGAACAAGTCAGATCTGTGTAGTAATGCATGCACTTTAATAAATTTTTTAACAGTACAAGCACCAGTAATTGAATAAATAAAAGGTATGATTAATGCTGCACCCTTGAACATAACATCTACATAAAAAACATTTACATTAAGTCAAGCACCAGAAAAGTACGTAGTGAATCTTTAAGCGTATGAGTGCAGCAGAGTGCCATTTCTCAGTTGTAAGCCGTTAATATGATTGCACTACAAACCTCAGGGCCGTATAACTAACCTCTGATGCTCCTTGACAACAGCCAGCACGTCGTCCGAGAGGTGTCGCGAGTCCTCTGAGAATCTAAAGAGCTCTTTGAGTTGAGCTTTGAGATGCTCCACCTGACACTCTTCTCCAGCCAGAGTGTTCTTCACACCCTAAAACACACAAGTGAGCAGTGACGGGCAGGTGATATAGACAATAAAGTATTATGTGTTTATAGCCACTTTTGAGAATCAATTACAAAGTGAATGGACTATAAAATTAAGCAAAGTAAAGAAAAGTTACCTGTTTGCTGAATTTCATCACATCTAGGCTGATAATACTTAAAGATCATATATTACATAAAATTGACTCTAGTGCATTTAACCATGTTAGAATTTTGTTACCTCCTCAAAAATCATACCTGGGGTTGTGTTTTGTTTAATTTACACATGTTTGAGTAATCCTGCATTATTAATCTGTCTACATCTCCAAAGCTCAAAATGCTCTGTTCCACCTTGTGATGTCATATAGTGGTAGTTTTCAAGTTAACAGCCACCACTTTACCTTTAGTTTAGTAAAGATTGGCAATTCCTGGGCTGAAATCACCCAAAATTATTCCAATGAAGTTGCATGAATCTTAAAAACACAGCGGTGCACTTCCTGTATTACCAGGCATCACAAGGTGCATTCTGTTTGAGAAGAACTCCTAAGAATTCCTAAATATGCAGGATTTGTGTGTTAAACAAGTGTGAATGAAATAAAACACAACTCTCTGACAAGGGAACAACATTATAACGTAGATCAGAAAATAGCACAATATTGGACCTTTAAGTACCATATTTTCCGCACCATAGGGCATGCTCATAAGCCTCCAACCCCATTAAAAAACGACTGTGCGCACCACAATCCAGAGCGCCCTATACACGAATCCACTTGGGTATCCCAGCACTACTTCAGTAAACTACAAAGCCGCACCACCCGCAGTGTACACAAACACACACAGAGAAGACAGGGACTGTGCAGCCAAAAACACCCGCAGCCACACTCATCAGTCCACACGGACAAGGAATGGAATGGAGGAACAAACTGAAAAAGCGAGTGCAATGTGCCACTTCTAGACACAACTGAACAACTGAGTCACTGCGAACACGCCAACAATCCAGCGGTCCCAGACAGCACCCTCCCTACACGCCACAATTGAACAAAGCCCAGAGTCACCGTAAATGCACCAAATGAAGTCCCACTGACCCATCTACCTGTTGTGTTTCGTTTAAAGTCTGGTGCAGTTTATTTGTGAAAAAAGTTTGAAAATAGACCATTTAATGACAGTGCACCTTATAATCCAGAGCGCCCTGTAGTGCGGAAAATACGTTATCAATTAAAAAGTGGATAGACTACAAAATTTACCAAAACAAAGAGGAGAAATGTAACCTTTTTGCAAAATTTCATGACATCTAAGCCTATAATATTTAGTGGAGATCGTGATGGGTAAAGTTTATATTACTAAAGAGCAACTTTTTTTGCTCTGCCTGGAATGTTGCACAGTATGACATTAAACAGTTCTAGCTTACATTTATTAAATTACACATGGTTTTACCGCTCAAAAATACTAAAAAACAGGCATTCTGACTGTGAGCGAGGTTGCCTCTCCACAGATCTGACCTGTAACTTGGTCTGGTTTGGTCTCCATGAAGATAGAAAAGTTAAATATCATACTGTGAAACTTTTCAGACAAAGTAATAACATCTCTATGGAGGAAAGAATTTGACAGGCCCTCCAACAGAAAAGTTACACAATGCACCTTTAACATTCACATTGTTTGTTGGCATTTTCTTATCATAGGAATGCAAAAAGTAAAATGTCTATCGCCTAATTCAAAAATCTTATCTCATGAGCCAAAAAGACAGCCCATCTCAACAGTATAACTGCACTTAAGACTTTAACAGCTCTTAATGTCAATCACACAACCAACTCCGGAACAACACAAATAATGGGCTAAAAGGAGGTGTCAGGCCAAAAAGCTGTGCCTTATACAGGCCTGGTCCACAGCCCTGTCAGTGCAAAAAGAGATCACATTGTAATACTGAAGTCACGCTCTAATGGGTGCTCAGAGGAAGTGAGTCATGAGTGCAACCAATGTGAAAAAATATGACTTTCTCAAAGATCGGAGCCAGAAAGAAAAGAATATACAGGTTTGTTATATAGTAGTCTTACACTGGTGAGATATATAGAAATAAAACCACACTTCATACATTTAATTATTATAACTCAATAGTGTATAATGTTCTGTATTAATTCTGAGGTACCGGTTCACCAGTGCCCATAAATTTATCTAGTGACTTGGGGCTGGATATTCCCAACACAATTAGACCTTTTCACAGGGCTAACTCTATAAGACAAATTGATGTGAGGAACTATAGCAGAACTGAGCCTGTAAGAAGGGCTAACCGCCGCAGTTAACGCAAAGAAACCCTCTCGAGTAGCCAAGTTGTACTAGTTAATCACCTGCTCGCTATATGGAGTGATTTTCTAATTACTTGCACAATAAAGCAACGCCTTTCAATTTATCCTAGCTCAGTGGTGAGAGAAAAAGGACGCTGGCTTGTAATTTTGAAATGCCTTCATTATATTTAATGTTAAAAGGGACCTCCTTTATCCGCAGTGCTTTTAATTATGCTCGATCCAAATGAAAAGCGACTCCAGGTATGTTACTGCACACAGCACAGTAATAACACGGCCCAAAACGTGCAGTAAAATCCTCCCACTATGGCAGTTCTGACTAGATATGGGCTGATATGTTTTCATTTTCATTGCTGATACCAATTGTTTAAAATCCAGGCAGACAAATGGCCGATAAACTCTGCAAATATATGGGGCAGGTTTTTACTGTTTTAATATCTGTAATTTAAATTTACTACAAACTCACCTTCAACCCGTTTTTACTACGGACCTACAAGAGGACAACACATTTTGCAGCGTCGTTTCAGCGCTGAAATGTTCAAATAAAGCTTTGTGTGAATTCTTTATTCAGCGAAGTGGTCCCAACAAAATATCGGCCCATAGAAATTACACGCTGATAACTGATACTGTAAAAATTGGTCTGATATAACAGCCAACTGATATTTTGATCTATCACTAGTTCTGACCCAGCCTAGCTCAAGATCTGGTTTAACCACAGTGGCATTGAAGGATGGGTCAAATGCAGAGGACAAATTTCTGTATGAGGACAATAAAGTGTACCCTAACTTTAAAGGGCCCATATTTCGCTATTTTCTGATCTGTTATAATGTCGTTTCCTCGTCAAAAACACACCGGGAGTTGTGTTTTGTTTCATTCACAAATGAAACAAAACACAACTCTGCATATTTAGACTCAACATTTTACTATTCCAAACAGAAAACACTCTGTTCCACCTTGTGATGTCATGTAATAATTAGTGCTGTCATGCGATTAAAAAAATTGAGAGATTAATTAATTATGATCTGTAATTAATTAATCTAATTAATCTCATTTTAATCTCACCTAAAAATTGCTGAGAAAAGCCTTCAATTTGAGGTATTTTCATTTAAATTCATTATTACATTATTGTGGCAGATCAAAAGACTGATATAGAACAAAAAAAAAGTGACTTTATAAAGTCATTTATTGTTTAACAAATCTCTCCAAATTGGCTGTTGAGCCCAAGTCTCCATGAATAAGAAACTGTTTGTTGTAAAGTAGCAAAGACGAGGAAATCTGAACATAATAACCTTTGTCTACTTAAAGACAATAAAAAGTCCAGTCTTTCCTTAACCATATTAAAAATATTACTGATAGAGAAATGCTTTATATATGAAATCACTGGTTTTAGTCCTGGTTTAGACCTGGTTTAGACCTACTTTAGTCCTAGTTTAGTCCTGGAATGGATTAATCCTGGTTTTAGTCCTGGTGTTTAGTCCTGGTTTAGTCCTGGTGTTAGTCCTGGTGTTAGTCCTGGTTTAGTCCTGGTTTAGTCCTGGTTTAGTCCTGGTTTAGTCCTGGTTTAGTCCTGGTTTAGACCTGGTTTTAGTTCTGGTTTAGTTCTGGTTTAGTTCTGGTTTAGTCCTGGTTTAGTCTGGTTTAGTCCTGGTTTAGTCCTGGTTTTAGTCTTGGTGTTAGTTCTGGTTTAGAGGCGCACAGGAGGAAGCTCGGTTTACACAGCGTACACGAGAAAACACGATCCACACGCGGCTCATGGGAGGACAGCGATGTCCGCGCAGTGTCTACGGAAGGAAACGTGGTCCGCGCGTTCTCAGGTTAATGACGATGATGAAGGTGTGTGTTTGTTTGTTTGTGTGTGTTTGTGTGCGTGTCCCCTCATGTGGCAGGTCACTATAGGACAGTAGCGCAGAGATCATGAGCCTATGCAGGTTGTTTTCAGGCGATATCATATTTGTTATTTTCTTTTATATTTCACGTCGGGAGAATAATTTCCAAGACACGAATGTGTTTTTACCTGTGCACTGCTGCCTCTGTTCTACTGGCTCTTCGACCTCGTCCATTGTGCGACTGACGCCGCCAACGTTAACATGACGTTTACTTACGCTGTTACTGCGCGTTTTGTGTGGCTTTAATGATTACCGAAATAAAAAAGTATAAATGTGTTTTGTGCCCAACAACACATAAAAACAGGTTTTATAATAAAGAAACTCACATAGAGACTAAAAATGAGATTAACGCGATTAAAAAACATAACGCGCTAAATATGACTGTAATTAATTAATCGCAATTAACGCGATAATTTGACACCCCTAGTAATAATACAGGAAATGCTTCACAGTGTTTCTTTTTTATTTTTTATCTCTATACACCATCGCTAGAATGATTTTGATAATCGCAGTCTTTGAATTGCCAGCCTCTATTGAGCTAAAAGGTAGGTAAAAGGTAGCTGTTAACATGAAACCTACCGCTTCAACACATCACAAGATGGAACAGAGCATTTTGAGCTTTGTGGTTACACAAAGAAAAGGTGACTCAAACATGTGTGAATAAAACAAAACCCAACTCCTGCTATATTTTGATGAGGTAACAACATTATAACATGGCTTAAAGCTCACAAGAATCAGCTTTGTGTAATAGGACATTTAACATGTGAGCTAAAACAAAACCAGTTATTGATTCTTTGTCCTCCTATAGACACACACAACAGCCCCGG